TCCTAGGCCTTACAATCCCAATGGAATACTCCATGAAATTCTTAATAAAGTTCACCAGAAGTTCTTTGCAGAGCACATTGAATTCTTTTCAGAATTACCTTGAAATTCTCAAAGGAAGTCCTTTCTAGGATTCCGTAGGATCCAGACATCCACAAATCATATAAAAATGCACATACAGAATCGTAAATTGCTACAGATTAAGTTAACATCGCATATAAAAATAAAATACATCGCAAAATGTTTAAATGTGATTGCATATAATGTAAACTTCTGACTTACAACACTGGCAATAACAACATAATCACCGTAATTTTGATGACTATTCAAAAAACTTCAAAGTGCTGTAACTTTCCAGAAAATGCATCACAGTCTTTGATCTGATAAATCAAATACTCACGATTTTTTGGTACAGTTTTGAGCTTGAGCGGTTGAGTTTATAAGAAGTTTGAGGGCTTACCCGGTGATTCGGAATAACTGTCACTGTTTAAATGATGATAACGATATTTTTTGATATCAGTATTATCCAGGCATACTGCATACAGTGATGGCATAATCCTCACTCAAATGATTTTGTTTCGCTCTCAAGGGCTCCCAATATCACGCATGATATTGGAACAAAATATCAAGCATGATATTGTTTTTACAAGCTCTTTTGATATTGCGAGACAATTCAGACATGTAAAATTGCAGCCACGAGTAGACTTACCACAAAAATGATTCCTTTGCACATCGTTTTCTTAGAAAGAGAAAGCATAGTTTGCTATCTTTCTTTACGCTTCACAGATGGCAGACACGAAGTTACTGCTGCCAGCAGTGATGGAAGTTTCGTTTCGTTTTCGGATGTACAGCAAAAATCTTGAAGCTCAAACTCAACACAGTTTGGTGAGAATTGTAGCCGGGGAGTTTTGTTAGCATGATATCATAGCAACCGTATCACAGCTTGTAATATCATCGGCTGTTGTTTGCGTGTTGAGTTTTTGGTTTACGATACTCAAATGAGATTATGCACATTGGTGAGATTAGATCTTTTGATATTTTCACAACACTGACTGCATATATCTTTTTATTTATTTTATTCTTATTTCATCTGACTTTTTTCAGTCTCAATGAAATCTAGGATGGGGAAAAGCCTCTTTGAGTAAACCATTCAGTTGGCTCAAAGAGGCGTAAAAACCCCATGTCTTTTCATACATATAACAATAAATAAAATTACAAATAGTCAATACACAGAATACGTTGAATACAAATGAATACAAATGACAAACATATTAAAAGCTAAGTCAATAATCTAAAATAATTGAACACAACAATCTGCAAATGCGTCACAGCTCACGCGTCGGAGGGTTGAAAACTCGACGTAGTGTTGTAGAAGGACCATGCAATAAAAAAACAGCAGGTAATACACACTTTCGAAGTAGCAGTGATTGGACAGATACTCACCGCTGTGCATTGAGGCGGCGTTGAAAAGTGGCAGCAGAAACATTGAAGTCAAATTGTCCACTAACATCGTTAAACCGAGAAGACATTATCCTGATAGGATCGTGTTGACCATAACGGCTGTTACGGGTAGCAAGGTGCAGGAAATTACGTTGCCTCAAAGGTCTTTGCGGCGCATATACGTGCAATTCAGCAAGAATATCTGGGCCATCGATTTCATTGGTCATTACCTTAGCGACGAAGATGGCTTGCAAATTGGATCTTCGCTTCTCCAGAGTATCGATGCCTAACAGCATACAACGATGTTCATATGGAGGAAGATTTGACGAATCACGCCAGGGTTAGTGGCGAAGAGCGAGGCGCACAAACTTTTTCTGCACCGCCTCGATACGGTCAATCCAGTTTCTGTTGTACGGGCACCATACCAGCACGGAAGATTCCAAAATAGATCGAACCAGTGCACAGAAAAGGGACTTCAGGCAGAGAGGATCACGAAATCCATCAGCAAGCTTAAACATGAAGCCGAGCTGTTTATTGGCTTTTGCAATCACGTCTTCGTAATGCGGTCGGAAAGTGAGTTCGATGTCCAATATCGCACCGAGATCCCTAACCTGATACAAGCGCTCGAGAGTTTGTCCACACATGCTGTAGTTGAAATTGATTGGTTGCCGCTTCCTGCGGAATGATATTGTGTTGCATTTGGCTATGCATAAATCGAGTAGGTTTCGCTTGCTCCAGTCCTCGAACAAATCTAATAACCTCTGCAACTCCAGGCAATCCTCAGTGCACGTGATGATCATAAAGATCTTAACATCGTCGGCATAGAATATTCGCCTTGAAGTCCGTGTATACGGCGTCCACTTGTGAACCAGCGTCCATAGAGCGTATGCAGAGTGAGGTGAACTGAGTGAGCACACTTTAATTCAAATCTTTCTGCCTTTACCTTTAATTACCAGCCACATTTGTCACAAAAATGAACCACAGCTGTGTCACGTTTTAGTTTCAGCACTTTTGGAGTCGTGGCGATGCATCTTATCTCGGATATTGAACGGATTTTCCACGCATCTTTTTTTTAAAGACTGGAACTCGCAAAAATTGGTCGAAAAAAATCGTTTCTTTCAGTCAAAATTTATATCACAAAAATCTGCTTATTTTTCTTTTGGTAGTTTAAATCATATATTTATAGGAAAAAATGTTCGTTTATTCTTTTGGTTTGCCAAATCTGGACTGCCGTGCTTTCCCCTTCCATTGAATATTGCACAGTGGTCTCAACAACCTTATTCGCCGCCGAACGCCCAGTTAGACTTGAACTGCTGCTCGTTTCCCACGGATTTATTAGTTTTTTGAGATTCCTTTTGACCAAGGCCCAACACCGTTCGATAGGGCGAAGTTCTGGGCTGTTGGGAGGGTTGTGGTGTTTGTGTATCACAACCACGTTGTGGGCATCGTATCACTCGATTGCCTTTTTCCCATATTGGCAGCTCGCCAAGTCCAGCCAGAACAACGCAGGTTTATTATGTTGCTTTAGGAATGGTAGCAGCTGCTTTTCCAGGCACTCTTGGACGAAGATCTATTTGGTTCCCGTAGTAATGAAAATGCCGTTTCTTAGACCACACGAGCATATGGCCTGCCAGACGAGATATTTCTTCGGGAACTTCAAAAGTTTGATGGTTTTGAAAATTGAAAGGTGGCTACCTTCCCTTTTTCCTGATTCGGTATAAAACTCTTGTCCTGGAAGCTGCTTGAAATCCGCCTTCACATAAGTTTCGTCGTCCATGACGACACAGTTGAACTTTGTGAGCAGATTCGTATACAGCTTTTGGGACCGCTGCCTTGCCGACGTGTTTTGTTTGTAATCTCGGTTCGCCACCTTCACCGTCTTAATCGTCGACAACCCGGCTCGTTTCTTGGCCCGCTGCACAGCAGTATGGGAGACATTGAGCTAGCCAGTGACGTCCCGGATGGACAGGTTAGGATTCCGCTTATATACCGCCACCTTCTTCGTCGTCGCTGCCACGTCCGGAATACGATTACCGCCACTTCCATGCTTCCTGGCGGTCGACAGACGCTCCCCGAACACTTTTAAAACGTTTGACACGGTCAACTTGGCGTGTGAGAACGTCAGACTCTCTTGCTGCGCAAGCAAAATTTTGACACGCTGCTCCTCTCGCTTTAAAAACTGGAGAGCAAACGGTGAAAATTCATCATAGAAACCATTGTATATACACTCAACTTCCAAATGCAGCATTTCAGGTTTTTTTTTATGCATTTTTAACAGAAATACACCAATTTGAAGTTGACCAATTATTGCGCGATCCAGACTTTACTTTAAATGCGAAAAATAAATTTTTCATTCTTTCGAAGAGATTTCAGTTTCTAAAAGATAACACACGATTTTTTGCAGGTTTGTGTCATGCTACATTTTCACGTCCACGGCTGCTTAAAATCGAAAACGAATGAAATTTCAAATCTTACTATCAATACAAGCTGATATTTGTACACACTTTAAAACAAAAATACTTGAAGATATACCCATTTTATCCATTGAGAATTGTATATTTATGAAATCAGCGGCAGTTATTCTGAACCACTCTGTATATATTATTATTTGACTACCTTTTTAAAAACGTTATTTTTTGTAAAGCAAAAAACCAAACGAACTGCATCTTTGTTTTTTAATTCTTTTTTTTTTAATCTGTGCAAATTTTATTGAAATCTATTCACCACGAAAAAAGTCATATAAATTTGATTTAATCTAAAATTTTCAAGTAAACTGGGTTATATTGTGATTCAGCAGCTATGGTTTTTTTATTTCGTGGCCAACAAATCCATCTTCTCCGTTACAAAAGAACTCATAATATTGTGTTTGATAAGGTATTTTGAAAACCGGAAGTTGCATCTTAAATGATGTTATCCGTTGACCATGAATTTCTGTTTTTGAAATGAGTATTAGTGTTTTTAATTTTTCTCGCTGTCGATAGATATTATTAAACTTTGAAAAAAAAAAAATCAAATGAATATTCTTTTGAACAGACAAGAAAAAAAAGACAGCTAATGTGGATGTTTGTGCTTCAAGAAATAGCAATTTGAAAAATGGTAGTGTAATAAGAATCATTTTACTAAATTTTCTCAAACTTCTGACAAGCAAGAGATGCAGGGAGTGGTTTGACGTAACATAAAAATTAATTTCTGGTCTGCTATTATTTATCAAGGAGTTGAACGTTAAGTAATCAAACCAACAACTCCATTAAATTCGCCTCAAATCTCCAGAGCCTTCCTAATGGGAAAGGGCGTTTTGCAATTACAGAAAAAATAATCAACCCGAGCACTGATTACCCGGCTTCACCAAATCAATACATAATTTTATAATTATGCCATAAAATGGTCACGGTCACCGCTCGGGATGTGATTGAATCTATGTAAGCCAACCACAAAGTAGAAACCCGTAGCTTATCGTCCTTGATCGTAAATTCCTGCCGCACCGGTACGATCCCATCGCTCGGCGAGTATCAGCTACAACGGGAGCGTGCATTTAATTTTAATCGTCTTTAATTAATACTTACGAGGATACGAGTAGGAAACGACCAGCTCGCCGGAAATCTTATTGAATGCCAGCGCCGTGATAACGCAGTCCACGTCACGGCGGCGATGAAACGAGAGCACCTTGCGGCTGGGCACGTGAAACAGTGCGATCGTAACGGGCTCCGTATCAGCTAATAAAGTTAAAGCTATTTAGCACGATCGCATCTACGGGCAGCACAGAGACCTTTGGCTCTAAATTAATCTTACCGATAATGATCTCCTCTTCGCGCCACGGGTGCCAATCGAATAGAGCCACTCCGTCGAGACTGATCCAAACCGTCAACGGGCTCAGTTTGCAGTTGGAATTCCAGCTCCAGATGTACAACCGGCCGGACTCATCCGATGAGGCCAGATATTTGGACGTTTTGGAAAACTTGAGCATAACCACCCTGATGCTGTGCGTGGATTCTACGCTTGTCGGATGCATGTGCACGAAATCACTGACACGAATTATCATTATCTGACCGGTACCGAGACCGCAGGCAAGATATTGACCCCTGGAATGCCACGCCATGCAGGTGATATCTGTATCAAGATAGGAGAAAGTTTTCATTTTCGATACGTTGACCTTGATGTTCGGGAGGAAGCAAGTCAGAAGGCGGAGAACCGGTCGCGATAGGGTGAATGTGGCCATGGCCAGCATATTTCCCGCAGGGTTGAACGCAATTGCCGTCGTATATAAGGCACAGTATGCGATCGTCACTTCGGTGTTTGGTGTCCAGATAACCAGCTTCTTGCTGAAAAGTGCCGCAATTTGCCCTTTGGCCGACCAGTCGATAATGTTCGTGTACTCCACCTGGGTGTGATGGAACAAAAGATGTGAAAAGATAGATTATTATTGCAGTTGTTTACCCCCATCAGACAAGGAACGACTCACCTTGATCCTGGGCAGATCGTGCACCGACTCGATGAAAGCGAGCGGCTTCGATCGGGGCTGGCAGCTCCAGTCCAGTTTGTGCTCGTTCTTGTACATTGGTTCCTGCTTTAGCAGTAGCGGCTTTCTAATCTCCAACCGTTTGCATATTTCCTGATTAGTTGCGTCGCGAAAGTTAAGAATCTTATCCGTCGCCGGGCTCAGGTTGAACATATCATTAAATACCGTAGCAAAAGAGTGGGACCTCCAGTAGCCTTTCCGTTCCTTCTGAAAGCAAAACCAAACCGCCATTAGAGGACTTGTTTGTCCGACTGACTCCATGAGCTCGATCCCGGCGATCCCGGAGGTCATGCCATTACCATACGCATCACGTCGGTGTCTCTATCGGCTTTGCATTCCGCCAAGAAACGGCTCGAACTGGTTTGGGCATATCGGCGCGGAATGAAGCGATCCCCGTACCGATTCGGAACATAACCCACCGGTTTCAGAATCTGCAAATGGAGAAGACAACGGCAGAGACAGAGAGAAACAGTAAGAAACTGAACGGAGAAATCTTACGATGAATCAGAAGGCCTTTACGATTGTTTCTCTTATTTTGCTTCAGCGCCAGCCCAGCTGCCGTTTGCAAGTTGCTTACGGAGCTGCTGCTGACGCTGAGATAACCTTAAAAGCTACCGCAACATGATAACATTGTGTTTTACGAGGCCTAAATGCTACTTAAAATGTCAGGGACCTATTAAAGGAAAGAAGTTTCTATTAAGTGCCGATAACATGCAATTGTGCGCGTAATTACGGGCGCACCTCACCCCGACTTGGGCATATGACGGCGGCGCTTCGGTTCTGGTGATCCCTGAAGGGTATCCCATTTGTTGCTGATTTTCCCATTTTTTTTTTCTGCCGTTAGATTTATTACCGACCAGCGGCAGCAGCAGCTTTAGTCCGAAGAAAAGCGATTTAATTACCTATGCGTCGATACCTTTTCGATTTGACCGGTTCGGCACTTCAGTGTTTTGCTTTTATCAATTGCATTGACCGTTGAATGGGCCGAATGCGGGTGCGGCGTTTTTGTACGTCGGTTTCAATTTTCTCAGAAAGGAACAAAGACCTCCGTCCACCTTCTTTTCACGCACATCAAAGGCATGAATGATGGAGTCTTAAGCTGTGCAGAAAGACGAGTTGATGAATGATGATTAAAGGGCGAACACGAAATTATTGCGACACCGAAAATGTCATGCCAATTTTCTTATAATGTTTAGAATCAAACCAAAATTTTAGGGTAGTTTTATACATATATTTACTTCAAAAATCAAAAGAAAAGTTAATCGATGGAGCCTTGAGTGTAAAATTGAACGCATTTTCGCTTGATGCCCTCCATCAAAGTCTTTACAGTGTCATCCGGTACCAGTTTCTCAGTTTTTTTTCATTTTCTTAACATGTCCTTCTCGTCTTTGACTGTCTTCTTGCTCTTCCGAAGTTCCCGCTTCATTATTTCCCAGTACTGCTCCACCGGGTGCAACTCCGGACAGTTTGGCGGATTCATGTCCTTTGGAACAAAATGGACAGAATTGGCCTCATACCACTCCAGGACACTTTTAGAATAGTGGCATGATGCCAAATCTGGCCAAAATAGCGGATCTTCGTCGTGCTGCTGCAAGAACGGCAAAAGGCGCTTCTGGAGGCACTCAGATTTGTAGATCTCGCCATTTACTGTGCCCTTTGTCACGAAAGGCTCACTCCTCAGTCCGCAAGAGCAGATGGCCTGCCAAATGAGATATTTGGAGGCGAACTTCGACATTTTCTTCTTCTTAAATTTGTCGTCCACATCGAACGTGCTCTTGCCGGTGAAAAACTCCAACCCCGGAATTTGCTTAAAATCGGCTTTTATATACGTTTCGTCGTCCATCACACAGCAGCCATATGTTGTCAGCATCTTCTCGTAGAGCTTCCGTGCCCGATTTTTAGCCGTCGATTGTTGCCGCTCATCGCGGTTTGGGAAGTTCTGTACCTTGTATGTATGTAGTCCAGCTCTCTTCTTTGCATTCTGGACGTAGCTCTGCGACATGCCGATCTTTTTAGCCAAATCACGGCTTGAGACGTTGGGATTTGCTTTAATCATCCGCTTCACCTTTCCCTCCGTCTTTTTGTTTTCCGGTTCCGGTTTTCTTCCAGCTCCTTTGCCGTGGTCCAACGTCAACCGCTCCTGGAACCGCTTCAACACGCTGGAGACGGTTGAATGGTGAATGTTCAACATTTTTCCCAACTGCCGGTGCGACAGGTCTGGAAATTCCAGGTGTTTGGAAAGAATTTGTTCTCTCAACTCGCGTTGGTTCACCTCCATTTTCGTTGAATCTATTTGGTGGTGAATTCGTTGGGCCAGTGCTGGAAAACCAACTACAAAATTACATTTTCTGTTACCAGGTTAATCTTTGCCACTGACGATGTGAGAGTAAATTCTTCCAGGACAATGTCAAAAATAATGTTTTCAAAATCGAGTGATGGCTGTCAATGGCAATGAAAAAGCTGAGGAGAAATCTATGGAATTTGTGAGGAGAACTGCAAATTGTTAAAACTTTCAATGTGAGTAGAATTACAAAGGAAGGATTGAAATTCAAAGGGAGTTCTAAAATTAATTCAATGAAAATTCTGAAAAATATTTCGAAAGGTTTCTAATTGAGAAGATGCCCCGTAACGTGGGTAGATCACCTTTTCGTGGTACGTTACGGGATGTAAGATCTACCACCGATTCCTAGTCCTGACTACTTCAAACTAAGGGAACAGGATTTTTCAGTAATCCAAGGAACACATCTTAGTCCTTGTTACTTTTTATGCCTTGTTGATAGTGACAAGACTCGGCTTTGTCTACCGAGGATGATCTTGAAACAAGGAAAAAAACTGAGTTAGTTAGTCTTCATCTATGTGATTCCTAATCTTCTATTCGTTGTTCTCTAGGTTGAAGTGGTTAAGACTAGGGTTCTGATGCATGGTCATTATCGGTGACATTCCTTAATTTTGTTGCTAAGGAATCCAATTTTGACTGACAGAGGGGCGCGCCTTTGGAGGGTGTTTCAACACTCCGAAGGGTATAAATAGCGGAACCTTTCAATTAGAGTCGGATCCTTACACGGGAAAAAAAGAGTTCCCATATTCGTGAGCCACAGCCGTGAACCATAGTTCACGGTGTATATTTGAGACAATTTTGTTCTGGATAGCTGGCCGTGATTTTTAGTTCACGGTCCGTTCCCGTTTTCGGGAACGGATTTTTTCCGAGTACGATAAATGCAGGAATGGCAACTGTAAAAAAATCGAATACTTCATCATTTCTCAATAGTGATGGAGTAATACGACATGCACTAAACTAAGGACACGGGATATACTACAATAGATCAATTTACTGGTCGCAGTAGTGTTAGGTCCCGAACAGAGAGAAAAAAAAATTGAGAAGAAGTTTAAGGTAATTCCGGGGAATATTTAAAGAAAATTGAATTCAGAAGATAGTTCCAACATTTTGAGGCATATTTCAAGGGAACTCGGAGAAGTACTTCAAAGATATTCCGGAGATAAATTAGGAGAATCCAAAGAAGCGTTCGAAGCGAATTCTGAGGAGATTTTAAGAAAATTTATGGAAATTCGACGATAATTTCATGGGTACCTCGGGAGAATACAAAGTAAACGCTGAAGAGAACACCAAGCAAATTTTCTGTAAAAATTTCCTCGAATTTTCTGAGGTCTTCAGAACTACCTATCTACCTACCAGAACCCAAAATTTTCCTGAAGTTAATTAAACTGTCTTGAAGTATTTTTGCTCACAATGATTCTTTTCAAAAAATTTAAATTTCTCTGGACTTTTTTGGACTTCCCTAAAGTATCTAAATTTTTCGAATGGCCATGGATCGTCTCTAAATTACCGTGAGATCACAATGTGACGTAAATCCATGTTTAGAAAACACACACTTCTGTTTAACCTCGCAATGATTACGAAAGTTATAAAAATTATTACTGGACCAGCTGAATATGATCTAAACAAAGCTAAAAATACGCATGTTGAGGTTTGAAAAAGCTTTTAATTTATCAGCACTAATGTATGGTGGACGTGACTTATGTGTAGAAACAGTGAAACAATTTCACTGATTCTCCGAAAATTAACTGCTAACGTCACATTGCCGCTTTGCTTTAAAATCACTCGAGTATCGTGAAAAGTTAAAATTGAACATGGTGGCGCTTACGTCGCATTCTCATCTCACGGTAGTGAAGTTTCCGTTTTTTTAGAATTCAAGGAAACTCCCGATGTTTGATTATTGTCGCTGGAATTCTCGAAACTTTTTTTTTATTTATCTGATTTCTCTAAAGTGTGCCGGAACTGCCCTGAGGTTCTCTGTTCTTTCCTGAAATTCTTAAAACCAATCTAACGTTTTTGCAGTTCTCGAGTAGAAACTTTTCTATTAATATCTTAAGTTGATATGGATGAGCTTGAGGTAAAATATTAATAAATAATAGCAACAAACTGCATGCTGAATACCATTATAAAACCAAATTATGGTATTTGAATAGCAAACAAAGAACTTACATTTAGTTTTTTGTTATTGATTTGATATCGTGATTGTTTAATTTTATATTAGAACTATATTTCGGGAACACATTTCTGATATTATTTCATGATATTTTACCTCTGATGTAATGCTAATCCATATCATATAATTTTTTTGGTGTCAATATCAGAATTTCGTATGACTGAGATCCCAAGCAACACGGCTTGTCATAAAGAAGTTGAAAATACTTTGTAATGACTAACGCAAAGAATCACTAATACTTTAATATACATCATTTAATACATTTATGCAACCTAAAAAGCGCAAGACGCGGAGCTTATACAACTAAATACTGGTCTTATAACATGTATTTTGGAAACATCATAAAAACCAGCGACAAAAAAAAACAATAAAAAAATCTTGAGCATGGGATTCGATCACTGGTCCTTGGCGTGGTAGACTTGTTTCTACCTAACTAGACCAACACCGCTTGATGAAAGGTTTGTTATAAGTATCTATCATGTTCTTGCCAATGGCATGAAAATTATTTTCTCGTTCAACACGCCTTCGATCCATCATGAAGACGTTTTGTTAGTAGCAGAGCGTACATCTAATAGCCAGAATGTAATTAAAACGTATTTTCAACTCCTTATAAGACAACCTGCACATTTTCAGTTGTATTAATTTATGAGATGTCATAAAAAAGTATTTTCAACTTTCTTTATAACAAACCTCCGAATACCTCATAAGAAACTGTCAATCACGGCATGAAGAGACAGTCCGGCTCAATGGCACCGTCAATGTTTACGTCAATCTGGATTGATTTTGTATACGACAAGTTTTATAGTGGTATTAAAACAGTAAGATGCACGTTCAAATAACATTTTAAGATAAAAGCAAAAGAAAACTATTTTGGAAAATGTTGAATCGAAGAAGTATGAAGAAAACATCTTTAAACCTCATAT